ATTAGCTGCAAATATCATTTTATCTTTGCATATCAAATACTGCAGACAGATGTGACCAGTTTGTATCTTGCAATAGACCTTTGTCACTAAGTTACCAATACATTGACAGGTTGTGACGTCAGAGCGATGTTTTTATGAATAGATATCAAATATATCATAATATGTCATATGTTGGCAAAATGCAAATTATGGTTGTAGAGTGTATTTTAATGATTTCTGGTTAGGACAGTCATTGTGATTGTAATCATTCCTAAAAGTGACATAGGTAATTACGCTGAGCCGCCCCCGGGACGTCATACATATAATATAATGGGCGCTGATTTCATCCTCGTGTCGCGGTTATGGCTTGCACGTGTAACCTTATTAGTGTAAGAGACATACACATATCCGTTAACGACCGATTAAACCGTTGGGTCTGTGATTAAACCAAGTTACAATAAACTGTGATTCCTCTTGTGTACTATATTTATTTTCTTGTCACCATGGTGACGATTCAGCTAGGTTAGTTGCCATGTCATCAACGGCCACCAATCCTACCATAATTATATTTTTCATTTTTAGTCTACCTCTACATTGTTCTTGTGACCAATTTGTTTCAATGGCGTGATATTTCTGTCGAAGTACACTTAGTACTGTAATAAACATGTGTCTAATTCGATCAACTCCAGCCCTATGTAAGACATTTCAATGACTTTTTTTCTAACTACTAAGATTGATCGATTTCAATACCGTGTCGCCTATCATCACGTCCGCATGCGGTCGCAGTGACACCACACCGATTACTGGAATAATTGTGAACACCAACATGTTACAGTTTTACATTATCAAGAATTATGCGTAACTATGTTGTGATGTGGCCCGTCAACATTTAGGGAGTATCTGATGCATGGCCGATGAAATGAACCATGGAGACTGACACTATCCTTTAAAATAATATTATTTTGTATTTCTTCTAGGTCGAAGAATTCCAGCGTGGATGAGGAACAGTCCCTGCTTATAGATTCCTTGATGGACAAGTACGATCGACGAATACGACCAAATAGTAAAGGTAATGTACACGGATATCTTATTCCAAAAAACTTCAGTTGTTGTAGCTTATTAATCACAAATAGGGAAAAGTTTAAGGGGCTGGTCTTTGCTGCAAAGGTCAATGTGTGACCCGTGTGTAAAAATTTGGTGTTCGCGAATTCACTCGTTACATGACAATTAACTTAACGATTAAATGTGTGTAACTAACCTGGAACGTTAATTTATTATAATATGTGCTATACGAGGTCAATTATTTAAGTCATTCATCTGAACTGTGTATCCATGGTGACCAAACCATAATTCTGTAATACATATAGCAAGTCAGCGAGCTCTAGCCAATGTATAAGTAATCTCGGCTAGATTAAATGCTATTTAAATAATCGTCATTTAAAATAATTGGAATCGAACGGCAGTTTCAGGTTTGGTGAACTGACCACGAAAACCTCGAGCATTTGTTGCTGCTTTGTCTTAAGTTGGCATTGCTGCCATCTTGAATTCGCCACAAAAGAAATAAAAGTCGCAATTAGAGGCCGCAAAATATTACAAATTACGTAACGAAGTGTCTATCTACCTTGAGTTACGCGTCAATTGCGTATTGATCGCAAGAACTGGTCTGCTTTGAAATAAACAAGTACGTAGTCACTCTTCATGACTGCGTAGGGCGTAGTGTTGATTACATCTATTACATTTAACTGAGCCCAGTCTACATTCATTGATGTCTCTATTTCATTGACAGGCAATCCAGTAAAAGTTTACGTCGACATGTTCATTACAAGTTTTGATTCTATCAGGGAAACGACAATGGTAAGAAAAATAACAACGCAAATCAATACAAAAACAGTCACAATGTGCGCAAAAGAAAGAAGGTGTTCCCGTGTATTTTTCTTTTATCTTAGAGACGATTGTCTTTTAGAGGTTAACACTCGAATGTCGAACAAATTTGAAAAGAGTTAACTGGTCGGGCACGTTTTGGTCGCACACATACACGTGTATACCATTACAACAAATATTTTAAATCGTATCCTTTCAATATCTCAACCGTGTACGTTTCAATTATATATTGTAAGTACTAGTCTATTCTATAAATAATTGATCTAGGGTTGGCCCACCTTTAGTTCGAGTGTAATGAACGTATATTTACTCACAAATGTAATCCTTTCTATTTTGAAGAAAACATATATGTTTCTTATGAATGGCATGATTATTTTCTTTACTGTATACCAGAATAACCAAGCCATGTGGATTGTCCGATTTTGAAATAGCGTCTGGTACATTTTTAAATATTGTCAGTACCCGTATACTAGTTGAATATTCTTCATTCTGGAGACTTTTACTCCGTGGTGATATAGTCAATATTTGGTTTTGAATGCTATACAAACAACACTACAATTTGTTGGAGTAAACATAACAATTTTGTTTGATATTTGGTTTTAACAATCCCGTGATATAAAGAGAGTTTAATTGTAGTGCCGGACATGTGTATGTTTCAATTATTAGGACTATGCAGTAACGATGTACTTTCGTCAGCATTGGAATGACACTCGACTTGCATTCAACGACACCGAGACAATTGTCGTAACGGATAATGTGAGAGAACGGTTCTGGGTGCCTGATTTGTTCTTTGTTAACGTGAAGCGTGCCAACTTTCATTACGTAACGAGAGACAACGTCTTTTTCAGAGTACACCCGACGGGTCTCATACTATACAGCGTACGGTGAGTGTCACATTAACAAATCTAAGCAGCGTCTAGACCTTTTATAATGACAAATGCAGATCATTTCACATATATAAAAGCACTGGACACCATATCGCGTTCAATCTTTGGCATTAGGCTAACGAGATTATGTTATCTATTTGAAATATCCCCTATAGCCGTTTTGTTGTAGATTTCTGTCTGTGCTGATGCTTAATGTGACGCTTTCATCGCATTACGGACGAAAGAGTACGTTCCATTACTTCAAAACCATGCCTCATTTGGCGACATGTCGTTTTCACTGCTTAATAATTAATTTATCATTTATAACCTTAGTTGTTCATGACTGGGTTCCTGTATTGAGCAATATTTCCAATAATAAGACATTAAGGTTGTAATTTAGTCTGGATAATGAAGTTAAAGGCAGTCTGTAATGTATAATTATTGGTTTACATTACACAAAAGTGATTTAATGTTTGTCGGTCACGTTTTAAAGTTATCGACCATTAGTGTGTTCTCTTCGGCGAGTTACTGACATACAGATATGTTTAATGTGTCATCTAGTTCTAGTTCTCACTTCCTGACACGCCAGTAATATAACAGAACATCTTGCATTGACATATATATCTTGAGAAACATCTTACTATGGTTATGGCATTTGTAATTTGGTGAAATCAAATTCCCATTTTATAAAGGGTAAAAACGAAAGAAATCTGGATCACAACACCATAGTGTGTGCTTTCAGATGTCACATACTGTGTTTTTTTTTTTTTTTTTTGTATACCTCGCTCCCAGTCAACAAGCTGACGCACCTTGATCTTAGTAATTCCATTTTAACTCAAGATTCTAACATCTGTCATGTTATAGGGCACACTATCGACCGTATCGCATTAAACTGACTACTTACCTTGCGCATTTTAATGGGAATTGTTGGTAAAATAAAAAGTCTACGTTTTAACAACAAATAATAAAATAACACACGTTGGTAATACTTGTTTAATAGACACACGAAACAGTTTTACTGAATTTTATCTAGTGTTTTGAAAGGAATTCGATAAGGAATTGTAGAGTCGTTATTTCGAATCTTGAAGCATTAAAATATAACACTTTTCACATCAATGATAAGTACTATATGTTAGGCAATTACAGTATTGATATTGTCTATTATATTGTCTATTATATTGTCTATTATATTGTCTATGCTAAAATTGATACACTGACTTGTCGTGGAAGGTTTTCAGGCAGCATTTATGTCATTCTTAAAGACCCGGAGGCGTGGTACAACATGGAATCATTTTGATGTGAATACCCATAATACGTTTGTCAGATTCATGTATTTTACGTCTATCGAAAATAATTCGTACATACACTTATGACTGGGGTTTATTATATCCTAGTTTATATATGATAGAACGTTGCTTTAGTGTTTGACAACATTATAGTAAAACAGACTTTTGATTTCACATCGACAGTTATATCGTGGTAAGGATATTTACTGTGTATGTTCATAAAAGTTTCAATTAATCAATAAATCGTCTAAGGTGATCCAATATCTAAAACACATATTTCCTTTCCAAATATGCGTTGCATACACCTTGACTATTGGGTATACCCCTCTACTGGTCTCTAATGTATAATGATACGCACTGTTGTTCGTTGTCAACAGTTACTACCGAATACAGAAGTTATTAGTGATGGGCTCATCTTGAAGATACCTCTGAATTTTTGCGTTGTGCATGACCGACCCGGTGATGTTACTTTACCAACAACAAGGCTTTTGAATAAATATTGATTGCCTCTAATCTCTGCTATCTCGGGTATAATGTATATATGATTGGTAGTCCTAATGTCCGTCACAGTGAGTAGGTGTAGTCGCTTGAATGAGTCTAAGTAATTAGAGATTGATAACGCAGATTAAATCCGATTAGAAGTATATTTTTGGTGCAGAGCTGAATGACGCAAATAAGAATCTTTCAATCAACTGGATGTCTGTGCATTTATGTCTGGTGCGTATGACGCAATTACACAAAACGTTTCTGACTTATGGTGGACAGTTGTATTGTTTCTACTCATTGAAGTATAAGAAGTTAAGAAAGCTAATTATAGAGTATATGTAATTTTTCTATACTCCCATACAATTGAGGTACATAAAATAGCAATAATAATAATGAACTATTTTCCAAGAAACAAATCCGAAATAACTTAAAAACTGCAATGTTTGCATTTTATTTTTTAATTTTGTATTCGTTTCTAAGTTGAAGATATTTCCCCATATTTCAAAATTGTGCTTGGCGAAATAGGATGAAAACATCGTATATTGTTATTGATATTCATCTTAAACTTGTTACAATTTTTCAACTATATGACATATACCTCAGTACGTTCTCAGAGCTATAATATTTTCCTATTGTGTTCAATGGGTGTAGTTTCCCATAATGCATTACACATATGCTCAGAAATGCAAAACTTGAATTCTTCAACTCCATTAAAGATCATCGGGATTTATTAAGGTTCAGTAACCAATGAGGTGATATGCTAAGCTGCTTGTAATCTGCTCTTTTCGTCTATCGGATACATTATTTGATTTTTTTGTTGGTATATGAGATTATTTGAATCAGATTGATAAATACTTTTCAAACTTTATAAACTTTATATCACTAAACTTTATAGCACTATTATCACAAACGTTTACGTTCTTTAAAATACTGCAGCAAACAAAATGCAGAGTAAAATGTATGGTCACCAAACTAATTTTCACACATTTTACCACTGGCCCCATGTGATAAAAAGATTTTGTCAAAATTCTAAATTTTGTCGAGATTGGTTTGGTGAAAAATCATACTCAGTTATAGGCACTCATGGTTGATCTGAATAACGGAAATTCTGATGATTATTATTTTTTTATGAAATAATATTTTAACATGTAGAAATATAGTTTCGAAAGGACCCACTTTCCCCCTCAAAACAATTATTTCATGAGGATACCTCAAAGTATGCACGAATACAGTACAGCTGAAGTATCGACCGACGCGCAGCGAAGGTCGATGCGACGGCGTACTTTCTGAATGCATACTTTGAGGTATCCTCGTAATAACCTTATTATTATTATTATTATTATTATTATTATACATCTTTTCCTTCAAAGGATACATCATGAGAATGCCGAAAACCAACAAGTTTAGAACAGAATCAGCGAACATCTTTGTGTGGAGTCCGGTCAAACCCTGGTGGCAGCCATGTTTGTTTTTATTATTAGAGGACGATTACGCGCGTAATCATTTCATATTTGGAATTCGCATTTCCTAATATGGTAGTATAGGAAAATACTCCGTAAAATACCGCAAAATTACGGCACACTGTAACTTATGGCGTTACGGTGACAGATGTATAATAATATAAAGTACAAAATTGTGCTGTTTTTGTGGACTGGTTATTTTAGCATAATTATTTGAACGAGATCTACTAGCTATATCCACGGCTAAATAAAACAATATGTTAATGACAGTTTGTTTTTAAATGTTATCTTATACATTTTACGTTATCTATTCGTTTTCCTTTTTGTTTATAATCGGTGGTTCTAAGAATGACATTCAAATGTTATGAAATATGTAGACGTTGGGGGATATCTATGCATAATTTAGATGCTTCTTTTTTCAAAGATTCACTGAACTTCTGTAGCTTAAGGCTATGGATCGCAGTGTATTTATTTAAACTAATCTTTAATTCGTTGTTTGTTTTCCAGAAACATGAACTATTTTGCTCGGTCTTCGCTTCCAGTATTGACATATTCAATACACATAGATGTAGTATATTTTAGACAGGCTTGGTGTTGGTTGTGTGCCTGTTCTGATAACTAGTATGCAAATATATGCATATATATTTCATGTTTATCACCTCATGTACAAATAATATCAAACAAAATCTTTTAAACCAGGTCTTTGTGTGATAACGTTCATCTACTTTTCACAGTACGGACAATATTACATGTTAAGCCTTTAATCAATCAAACACTATTTACGAATCACGCTGTAGTGCCATATAATATACCGATTCCATTTAACATAATATATGTGTACCATATCTATATTGATATCTTGCTCAGCCAAAGTTACTATATCTTTAATTGATATTCGTGTCACGATTTCCGGGTTACTCAATTTTTTACTTCAAAGTCAAGAAACGTATTCTATTTCGATTGTATTCTCACGTGCATTCGCCTTGCATCTGTTAGCAGATCGGCTTCGGAATGTGCATTGTATTTGTTACAGTTGTACACGTGTTTGCCACTTATTTGTGCGCAAAAAACAATTGGTGTAGTTATAAAACATTGAGTTTATTCTTTTACATTGACCGTGCAGCTGTCACTTATTATCGACGCGTGTGAGTTGGTCATTCTGATTACTATGGTAACGTCAACTTCTAGTTACCTGTCATTTAGAATATTCCACTTTCTGCTTTAGTATTCGGTGAAATTGACACACTAGTTTCTATTTTTAGATTGTTGTATCTTATAAGGTCATCAGTGTAATTAAATGCAATGTATCCGTACTTTTACTGTATCGATACTGACTGAGTGATTGACAATAAAACGCAACCTTCCGTCGATCAACCATACCCATATATTAGTGTATTACAACTATATGGATATGGCACATAAAGTAGCATATACTAGTACACTACAGTGTATAGTGTATGGTGTATAATTCATAGTGTATAGTTTATACGTATAATGACCAGCTTGAAATAAAGACATACTAAGTTTCAGATAACAAATAATTAATGCTAGTAACTAATACCGGTACCGGTATTGCTTGTAACCTAGCTTCTCATATTTAGACGATCTCTCACGATAATATCGTTTGCTTGAATCTCCTCTTACCAGTGAATGAGTGTGGCATACGTATTTCCGTTTCCGGTCCGATGGTTCATCGTTTACACGTTTTTCATAGTTGTAATTTATATCAATTCAATCGTATCGTCTCCAGATGTCGTGTGATGCACACGTGACCAATAAGTGCAAATGAGAAAAAACAATAACAGCGCTTGTACCTAGTGATATTCAAATTTGTTTCAATAACAGATCTACAATCCAACTGAACTTGTCGCTGTATTTTAGATAGCTTTGGCAAGTCACACAAATGCGATACTCTGATAATTTTTAAAAGAACACTTGATATACAACATTATGTGGTGTTTAGGCCATGAAAGGTCATGGCTTTGAGATAAATGTGTTTCGCTTTTAATTTTAAGTTTTTTGTTTACATCCAATTTTCAGACTGAGTTTAACATTGTCCTGTCACATGACTTTGGAAGACTTCCCCATGGATAGACAGTTTTGTGGAATACAAATCGAGCCGTGTAAGTAATGCTATATTGTGTCAGTTTAACCTATATCCATTACGTGCACAAGACACGTGATTTAACTGACACTTGGGACGTGAACCCACGTCGTTTTGCGCAGCAGTAAGTAATCTCTAAAGATTTGGATGACAGGAATCATATTGACAATCTAACGAACAGTAATCGGCAGTTAGAGAGTGTATCTTTTGATTTGGCATGTGTGTCAAATACATGCGTGATAAATATGTGCTGCTGACTGCCGATCGCAAATTAGCATGTTAGTGAGTATGCCGTTGAATTAGCGCCGATAATTCGCCATTCATTATCTGTATTTGACACCGGACTAAAATTCGCGCCCTCTAGCGACAAAACATGGCGTACGGGGCCATGTTATTTTGTTTTGTTTTTAAAGATTTGCTATTTTTATAAAATAAAAAACGACTAACTGACCAAACTGAATAATCCATTTGTACAATATGCCTTACATCACTTCATCATCAATGGTCGCCACTTCCCGCAAATCACTAAAAGGTGTGCGACATGCAAATGGGTTTCTGTCGCATCCACCCAAATGACTGTCAAGAATCAGACGCCTTTCAGAAAATGTCATAGAAGAGGTAATCCTATTTACAGTTGTCGGGGAAGTGACTACCATTCATTTGCCTGATGTATGTTATATTGTGATGTGGAGCGGACACAATATTTTCTGACACTACCGACCAGTTACAGTGACAATGTTGTTCATTACGTTGGTTGCACCGTTAGATTTAATTACTGTTGGATCAGTTACAAAGTACATTGTATAATTATGGACATGCTGTACATTTCTCGACGATCTTTCTTTTTTAGAACATATGAAGCTTGCATTTTGAATTAGTGTTTAGTTCTTACAAATTCCAATAAAAACAATATATATTACATGACCGTCCCGAACCAGGACAGTGTCACACGATGTGCAATGTTTTTATATTTCCATCGAATATATTTTATCACAGATGGCTACACAACAAAGGACATTGAGCTGTATTGGCAAGATTCTAATGCTGTGGCGTGGGACCCCGAACTGAAGATGGCGCAATACGTACTAGAAGGATCTGATCTATCGGAGCGAATACAAGACTACAGTACAGGTATATAGCAGTAAATCGTCCTCAGTTGGCATGTGTTTATGTATATGTTGAACAGTTATAAGTAGTTCAATTCGGTGTACAATTTATCCGAAAATCAATCGATATTTTTTGAGGCTGTAAGGTCATGACATAAGTGAAAATGAATCACGTGGCATCATATACAGCTTAATGGGGGGGATTTCGTTGTTACTGTATTTGTCACGTGCCTTTGGCTGTTACATAGTATTCAAAACATTCAACTGATGATCAAAATACATGCGATAGTGTACAACTCATTGCTTCATCGATCATATACTATTGTATGTTGTCTTATTATAAGTTTAGTTTAGGCCACACTGATTTAATTTTATGGATGACATCCTCTGGAGACCCCAAAACTAATGCGAGAGGGCGAAAAAAAAATCCTGCCAAAAAATAAATCCTACTAAAACCACAGGACTACGGAGCTGCTATTACGAATTGGACCACAATGTACCAAAAAACAACAAGAAGTCTTTATTTGTAGGAGGCACATGTTGATATACACATCTCGTACTGTATTACTGTCACAGGTATAACCATTTCAGACAAGCTCTAGTACATGTAGTCATGATGAAGTACCTTCAGTCAAAAACACTGCATGCAAGGTACAACATGGACATCATTTTCAGTACAAGTCAAGGCGGAATGTACATATCACTACTTTATGACAATAACTAACAAAACATTGCAATGATACAGAAATGTCCTTGATTGCTCCTATCTACACAGTGGGGGTTAGCTTTAACCAATCTCTCGTATAGCTGTGTAAACGTCATATCTCCCTGGCCGACGTCAATTGCGTACCAGTCTACAACAATCTCTCTGTTTTTCCTCTGAAGTGTTATGCTCACGTATTCCCGGCAACGCAATACGCATGTGCAGAAGATCATTTACGACAAAATTTGCACGTTTTTAGATAGTCCAAAAAGAGTTTTACGACAAGCCCGCGCTTTGCGACAATATGAGTCGGCAAGTTCCGGACAGAAAACCGATCTGTAGAGACTCGTCGTCGGAGATTTTTTTTTTTTTTTTTTTTTTTGAGAAAAGGCGAAAACTAATGCGCGCGTGGATGTCATCCATACAATTAAGTCGGTGTGGCCTTATAATAAACCACTTCCCAGCATGCAATAGCAATGGAACAACAATATTTTAAAATTACTCGAACTACCTTTGTGAAAAATTATGTGTTTGTCGTATTTAACCTATTGTTCTATTTGTTACAGGTTTCTTTGGGCACGTGAATGTGGTATTTGTCCTAACACGCCAGCTTGGATTTTATGTATTGCAAACTTATATACCCAGTATCTTACTGGTGGTGTTATCATGGGTATCGTTTTGGATTGATGTCACCGCTGCGCCTGCGCGCGTCGCTCTAGGAATAACAACGGTTTTGACCTTGACGACGCAAGGCTCTGGTGTCAGGTCTGAGTTGCCGAAAGTTGCCTACGCAAAAGTAAGCTATATATGTGACGCGAGTATTTTTACTGTACTGTACTACGTATTCCCATACTAGGTCATCTAGGGTATATATGTATAAATACCGAACGTTGTTTGGACAATCCTTATACTTGGAGATCTTAAATTTTACGTCGGATTACTTTAATGGGGGTGAGCCCGCCATTATATTTTCATTCAACGTTGATCGCGAAGACGATGATGCCGCCCTTCAAATTGGAGGCTGTACATACATACAACATTACGTATTACACAAATCCAACTTTTTAACATGAAATGGCAAATAATTTGATTTCATCTCTAGACTGATGATTATTTCTTTGCAGGCGATAGATATCTGGATGGCTGCCTGTTTGGTGTTCGTCTTTGCTGCTCTGGTGGAATTCGCGCTTGTCAACTATCTCAATGCCCTTGGCACCAGTAGACAGAATCTTAGTAAATTGTTGAAAGAGCAGCTGGCAAAACAAAGAGATATGAATTCAAGTGAATCAGAATTCAAAGAAATGGTAGGTTGTCGTCTGCGTCAGCTGGTTGTCGTCTGCGTCAGCTGGTTGTCGTCTGCAATGTTTAAAAAATATTTTATTCCTAACTATGTTAAAGCGGGAGTGTCGGGAATTGAGTCCCAAGCGTCGATAACAACGCAAAGTCTCATGGGTAGACGCTTTTTTGTAAACAATGACACGCCACGGCTGTCTGACGCATGCGCAGGTGACGACTCCATCAGATTGTGATGCGTTATGACCGCCTTTGACGTGCAAGACGGGGTCGTACGTCATATAACATGTTTATGACCGTTTTCAATTATTGAGAACTCTTTAAATACGGGATGGTGTGAAAAACCTTCTAACCCGCCAGAACAATGTGAGATAGTAAATAGCAGATATAATAAAGTCTGACGCTGTCCCTGCGTTATTTTCACATTTTACATCCACTCCCGACATTTCGAAATTCCTGACAACAAATAGACTCTACAGACGATGACATCGGCAAGCACTTTTCGCAAGTACACCAGTCTATCGTATTTAGCCTCTCTACTCGCCAGTTTCCTCCATATCCATACTCGGGCTCAGTGTCCGTATCATTGCTACTCTCTCTTTCCTCTCCAGGCCAGTATTTTGGCTCAAACTGATAGGGTTTGACAACACAGACACTATCCACCACAATTTCAGTTTCACTAGAGCTGTCATAATCATAGTCGATTGAATCTGCCATAGATAACACTACAAGTTTGGCAAGCAATACAGTGAAAACGCAGACTATAGCATTGACCAATCAGGGGGGGGGGGTCATTAACTACGTCACTGAAACAATGGACCCCCAGCAGCGGCTCTCCACATGAAACGGGGCAAATATCGTCTGCTTTGTATGCCTTTTTTAATTGTTATAAAAAACAATAGGCTCGAAGAATAGTTCAAATTTTTATTCAGACTTGATTAAAATCACATTAAGTTCGTGAAATAAACTCTAAAATCCACAGTTCAGTGCCCCTTTAAACAAATAGCTACAAAAGTCGGTGAAGGTCAATATCCATTTCCTTAGTCAATAATTTCAATTTCGAGTCATTAAACTGAATAATTATCAATACTGAGGTAAATATATGTTTTATTATATTGAATAAATTGACACAACTTAAATCGAACGTTGGAGTCTGATGCAGACGCATTGTTTTGACTTCGAGTCAATAATGAGTTTTATTGACCGCCATGTGACGCGTTCTGACCAATAAATGTGACGATCTTGCACGTGAGGTATAATAATATATATTAATTATTAATTAATGATTGTTCATAATATCAGTATTAACTCACCGCAGTTATAAGTGGATTAGGCTGATAACACGAATTATAGTAGTGTCTGCAATTGACCAACACAGATAAATGTTGATATCGACCTGAACTGAAAAGTAATAAGTGTTGTATTTACCCCCAAATAACGACATTGTGGCAGTTTGTATGATGTAACACTATAATCTAAACATAGGGAGCGTAATAATGGCACGGCTTTGTATATACTTACCTTGGTCGCTTTTGAACATTCCTTCCCACAACACATCAAATCTCTTCTCATTGCACATCTGAAACGAGCTTTTCAAGACTATTATAAAGATAATTAGTGTCTGCGGCAGACGACTCTAAATAGTCGGTTTTCGTCTGCTGATGCACACGCAACGTCCCGAATATGGCGTCAGAAGTCAATAACAACGCAGCAATAGGATGCAAAAGTCCGATAACTCATTGGTAGGCCAATATCAACTTTTCCCGGAAAAGATTAATATTTATCGGCTATCATGTGATCTTGTCACGTGTCACAATTGTGTTATTCATTGGTAATATTAAAGGGCGGTGGTTGTCGCGCTGTGCAGGTGCTGCTTTGTGTTGATGAACGCATTGATTTTTCCACAGTCCAATGCGTTCTTCTGATGGAAATCACAACCTGGGCACGAGTTTAACTAATCACCGCCGGTGACTCCTTCGATACCTTCCTATCATCTAAAAAATACTGTATCAAAACTTGGTATCGTCTCCGTTTGTACTTGTTGATCTGCGCAACAGTCAAAGTTGCCATCTTTGTTTATATGAGAACCCATATATCTCGCGCATGCGTGGCGCGACGACTACCGTCCTTTAAACAGCATACCTTTTGTTTATTGTATTACAGCAAGAGACCAGTAATAATTGGCTGGTGAAAACATCAAGCATAAATAACCTGGGTGCAAGCTACGAAAAGATACCTAAAAGTCCCGATGGATTGACGCCCGAGTTGTTATCAACACGATTACGAAGCAACAGTTACAAGTGTGCCTCAGCGATCTCTATTCAACACAAGCCGGAAGTACCAGTCGCCGATTCGTTGTTCGCTGAGGGCGTTATACTGAAAAACAGGGCGTTAAGAATAGACAAATTATCTCGTATAATTTTCCCCACTAGTTTTCTTATATTTAATTGTCTGTACTGGCCGTTGTATATGATGAACTGAAATTTAACCTGGCTGTGACGTCATAAAGGTACTATAATACTCAAATTCTACAAAGATACTGATTCAATGAAAAAGCTTCCTTGTCCCATTATTCTCGCCAAGGATGATTCATAAAAGAAGAGACATTAGCTTGAAGTAATATAACCAAACTGTATCGAAGTTGAACCCTATGTCTATGCGGTAAATTCGAGCTAACATCGGTGGGGAGAGGGGGATGTTAACATTAATCGTGAAGTTTCGTCATTACACTAAACGAAACCCCACGTGACGTTGAATACAATAAGGAGTGAGCATTACTCAGAATACGAAATTCTTGAACCGAACCTGTGAGGGCGCCTCGTTACATTGTTGGAATCATACAGATTTGAACTTTCGGCATGTGAAAGATATTCCTGGACACGTGCGTTTAAAAAGATATGCTGCTATTTTATTTCTCTGTGGGTTAAACGAGTCGCTATTCAAGTCTCAGAAAGTGGTTACTCCTACGTTCGCATGGAGTCGTCAGCTTCTCTGAACACGTGGAACATTTAGTTGCTGAGTTGATTTGTCTCTTTAATTTGGTCTAAATCCTAAAGCTGTAAAATATGTATATATTAATATTCTTATTGAGAAGTATTTGGAATACTACTAATTTGAGGATTATTGTATTTAGCGAAATAATCAGATTTCTGTCCGACCAAATCGGTGATGTTCGCTTAAAGCAAACATTGTGCTGTTTTTTTGTTGGGCGTAATTTAAATACAAAGTCCAGTATTATAATACCATGAACAAACATACGTCTTATTCACTACCAAGTCAGCTAGCTACACACATAGATCTCCATGCTGTACACAACCCCCCAAATAACTCACTGAACAAACCAACACCATTCTGCACCCATGCAGTGAGAAAACATAATTTCAAATTTTGTTCTATTTTAGGGGTAACTCGCTGTTTTATTTGATTTTTTGCCCGTACGTGTATAAAATCTTGTGTTCTCTGGTGAAAAGCCCGTTTGTTTTGGGGAATTGTGCACTAATCGAAGGTTCAGTAGTGACTTTTGTTCATGGTAATTTTAGTAGTATAATGCTGGGCATTGCCTTTAAAGTTGGAATTAAAGCGGGAGGGTCGTCACCTGCGCATGCGCGGGAATTGAGTCCCAAGCGACGTTAACAACACACGCTAAAACGCAAAGGATCATGGGTAGACGCTTGTTTGTAAACAGTGACACGCTATGGTCATCTGTCGCATGCGCAGGTGACGAGTCCCCCGATTTAAACGTAAGCATAATTACAAACACTAATGCTAAGATGCAAACAAAAGATATTTGCAAATAAGTCATCTACGGGTTTCAAATGTCCACAGATTTGTCAGAATTCAATTCAAATATATATTTGGAAAACTGTATTAGTAATAATGGCTGAACAATGTACGAACTGGGGTGAACAAAATGGCGGATCGTGTGACCTACTCGGACAAACATATCACATCACTAAGTGTTGCTAGCGCGTGGCCTGTTCAGGATATTTTTGTCGAATAAAGACGTGGTATTCAATATATGGACAATTGAATGCAAGAGGGTGGGCAGGATGCCACAGACATTGGTAATTTTACAATGACTGAACATTTTCCGCTGCGAATGTCGTGTAAACACAATCATTCAGTGCAGAATAACATCCTGCGCATCACATCTATTTGTTTTGATTTAAAATGAAAATACAGACAAATATAAGATATTTCCATCACAAAATACCATTCGTTGCATATAACGGGTATTATTGACTATAACGTGTGTGCGTGTAGTACTTAGTTTCCGTGAAATCATACTCCCTCTATATGAACTAGTAACACCGAACACAAATATGTATAAACTAGTTTCATTGGCGAAATGTGTAAACGTACCTTTGCTTCATGGGCATACTGCAGTGCTGTTTCATGGGTAAGTGACAATAAGATTATCTATTTTCGAAAACCAGAAGACTTGAATGATTTGATAGGATTATATTTTCCAGGATGGCAACACGACGGAGTTCCATGTGCTATACAATTATTACATGCCACACAACGCCCAGTACCCTTTAAAGATGCTTGCGTGAACACAGAACAAGAAGCCGAAAATAAAATTTACGTCCAAGTACGATATACTTTCATAGAGCCGACAGTCTTCTTAGTGTCAGAGATCTGTGGCATGGGTAATGGCTCTCGAGTGCCAAGAAGGTCCAGATATAGACGCATCTAACTGGAATCTGTCATATGATCACCATGACTACGGAACATTGTTCGACCCGAGTTATGTGTCTACTGAGCATTTCACTGAACATACATTCATATATTGTGGAGAAAGTCACTTTAAATGTACAATACTGGTAAAGTCAGTCATGTGTTTAGGTTTTACACTACAATTGGAATTGTTACTTGGATCATACATCCGGTTGTCATCTCTTTCGTTTGGAAAACAGGTTGTTACAAGGGATGCCATGGCTGCATTCCAAACTGATTTATTATACCAGCGTAAAAAACCTTATATTTGCGAATGAAATCGAATTGCAATGGAAACCAATCGATTTTGCTAACGCGTACAGTTAAAGGGAGTAATCTTCAGTTGCTAGGCTAGCTAGTTCTTGCAAATGAACTTTTACAATATTGCTAATGCCAGTGTGGAATATTTTTTGAACTTTTAACTGCTGTGATGATATTATTTACTTGAATTGAAAAGGAAATCAAATAGTTAATTATATTTATTTAAATTTGTGAAACGCGAATCATTGGCCTTATGTTTCGAAAGTTTATTTCATACAATTAATATTCATGGCATCAAAATAAAGTGAAATAAATCTCATCGTTTCAGAGTTTCTTTTTCCACCTGTAGATAATAAATCATTATTCAGATATTTTTGGTCAACGTGAATCGCTATATTAAAAGATATAGTTAGAAACGGCGGCCGGATTAGTCACATTTTGTTATGAAAACGTGTATGGAAAGACGTGAACAGCGCCCCGTAATTAAAATAATTGTGTTGAATGTTTTCGTCGAATGGGGGCGCTAACTAAAACTATGCAATGCTGCCAATCAAAGATCGTACATTCATCTGAAACATTTTTTAAGAAGGGCGCATGCTTATTACTACGTTATCAGTGAATAAGCTACGATGTTCATGATTTTGATTTTAGTGAACCCACTGCAGCTTTGATACAGCTATGTTATTTAATTCACTTGTTGACAGGGTTTATTTTCTTCAGATTTTAAAAATAAGAGAAAATGTTTCAATTCATCGAATTTGCTGGTTATTCATTGGTAAATCTCAATCATTAACACTGAACACGTTTAGAATGTTATATCATTAATCATGCCGTGACGCCATCATTCAATCTATAATCCGGGTAGTTGTCACGGTGTCAATAACCTTGCTACTGCGTATGAACGCCACGTTGATCTGTATCAAACTGAGCTACCAGGGCACAGTGTTCGCGGACACGGGAAACAACCGACGGCACGCTGACGATTCAAATTTAACAACATACCCACAACATGGAGTGGATGAAGTATATTACAAGTATATAAAATCGGGACTTAATGTACAAATGCAATGATTAAATACTGGAATAGATACAGCCAAGATCACTGGGAAATGAACTACAGGCGAGGGAAAGTGTACTTAAGTCAAATAATCGCCGATGATGATGAAACCACTTAGAGGACAAGTAGAGGACAAATACAACAGCATATAGTTGCGCCCTCTGGCGACAAAACGCTTCAGTGACGTAAATAATGAACATCCTCGTTCAACGTTTGATCTGTCGACGTCCGTTAATACAAAAATGGTGTTGTCATAGAAACAGCTATGTTCTAAATATCCAGTGACCACACAGCCAAACAGAGTTGTAGATTTAAATGACGTCGATATACGTAATTTTGATGTCACAGATGCGCTTTGTCACAAGAGGGCGCGGTACATTGGGAAGGTATATTGGAATAATAATATTGGAATACATCATGTTGAACATCGTAAATTAATGTGTATATGTATGTTGGCTGTGAATAAGATACTTAACACTCGGTAAAATCATTGAAGAATTATAAAGTTAACATCAAATGCTGAAGACACGAATAGAATACGGCGAATGAGAAATGAAACGAAGCTTTCTGGGGATGTCCGTATTTTGGTCATCTAATTAGAAATGGCTTCTACTAATGTACTGCCACAAACGATACAACAGATTACCGACATAATTACGGATTAGATTAGAGTAATATTTAAAGTGCATCAGATAAGGAATGGAGTGACAGTACTCCTAAACTGCGTGTCAAAAATGGTACGTTGTGGAGAGTATGTTTAGCAGTCATTACAACCACGGCGCTGACAAGGGAGATGACAAGGTGACGAGCTGACAACAAGACAATAACATTGTCAGTATTTCTCCCGGAAACCTTCAAGTGAATTATGACGTAATTAATTCAATGCGTAGGAAGTGATGTCGTCTGCAAGTACTTAGTCAGACGGATAAATTATTCAATAAAGAAATAGGCACAATGGGAAATTTGCGGGTTTCACTTTCACGTGATGAGTATGCCCGAGTACATTTAGTTCTCCCTAGTTGCGCTATAGCAGCAAAATAGTAACCAAATAACAAACTATCACACCACGACTGGTACTACTCGTCGAATTATTTGTACATGAATCTGGAGACCGCGTGCGTCGAACAGAACATCCGAAAACAACAGAAAAAGAAAAAACGATACCTTTCAGATATACAGACAAAGTGGGTCAGTGTAAAATAATGATTTTTTTTATTTCAAAATCATCATAGAATACGTTTTTGTTTTATAATTACATATTAGATTATGTACAAGTAGAAACCTTAACAAGAAAAGAGATCACGTGACATCATATGAACACGTCTGTACACCGCAATATGACATCAAACACCTAAAAGTAGATTAAAAAAACAAGTAATGGGCACGATTACATTTCCAGGGAGGTAAAATAACCCGATGATTTGAGAAATAGTCAAACATTACT